ATATATATATATATATATATATATATATATGCATTCATTGGTGTAGAGACGCACAGTGTTTGAACACATAGCGGGTGAGCGTTTCAATAAAGGCGGTGGGCGCCAGATTCTCCCCTGGGAGGTCTTTGCAAAGCTCCTCGGGCAATTCCTTCCGAAGCACATCCCACATCTTTATTGCAATAGCGTCCGGCCTGCACCCCCGCAACAGCAGCAGCAACAGCAGCAGCAGCAGCAGCAGCAGCAGCAGCAGCAGTGACGCATTAATATTCTTCTGCCTGCTGAGAGAAGAGGCCGACAGAGAACATGGAATGCTAATAGAAAGAACGAAGCAACCAATGCCGGCAGAATAAAATCTAAGTCGAATGGGCCGCAGCGCACAACACGTGACAGGTGGAAACAAATAGTAATTCTTGTACAGTTCAGTGTACACCACAAGTGTAATAAGAAGATGAAGCGATGAAACAAACAAAAAGAGAGTCTATCAAGAGGAATATGCATCGAGATGCCCACTTGTAGTGCATGTGTTCATTGACTTTAAGAGCAACAGTTGCGGCCTGTGTTTTGAATCCTCTTTCATCTAGGAAGCAGAATGTGCGCCAGAGGAGTGCGAGTATATCGATGCTTTTCCCCAGTCTTTCTTTGTATTCATCTGAGTGTACATCTGTTGACTGAAGTGATTTCATAAGATCATCATCTAAACGTTCAACAAACGAAGTGAGAATAGAAGCAGATATTTGTTGTATCTCCTCAGGCGAAGAGGCCTCTGCGAGCCCCGCAAGCGGAACCAAGTAAGCCCCCTTGTTCTCCTCCATGATAGAGAGAAGCAGCTTGACGCCAGCAAAGGTTTCCATCCATATATGCAGCGGCATGCTAGTGAAGACGCCAGATGTGGTATCGAACTCTGCACTTATTAGGTGTCCTAACACCTCAAGATGACACTGTGGGCTAACAGTCTCAGCTAGCTCAGCTAGCCGTTTCAGAATACGCATTTGTTCGAGTTTATCTACACCTCTACGACCTCTCTTCTCTACCACCATCTGCACACGCTTCGCTATCACCTCCTCATTTATATCTGTGCTATCAAACAGATGCTCCATATCTTTTGTTGAGAAACCTGCCTCTGCTGCTCCCGGTGAGGTCTCCTTAGGTGCTGGCTTCGACCCCTTCGTTCCGCTCTTCTTCTTAGATGTTTTCCCTCGCTTCCTCTCCCCCTCCTCCCGTACACCCCACTTAGCCATCGCGTCCTTCTGCCGGTCACCCTCCTCGCCTACGCAAACAAACAGAAATGCAACAACTAGGAAGATGCTGCGCCGCTGTAGCTCCAACTAGCTTGAATACATCCATAAACAAACAACATGTACGATGCGCATATAAATATATATTATATGTATTATATGTATATATATAGTAAATATATATAATGTGGTACGGTATACATTAGCATATGAAATACACCCCAGTATGTAGCATGCTTATACAATACAAGGAACCTAATATGAAATACAAGTTGCCCTCATCCTCAAATAAACTACGAGAGAATACACTACATAATATTTATAAGAAACACA